GTCTTCTTCAGGCTCTTCCCCCCCCCCCCACCTATGCAAAGTAGGCAGGGGACGCCTGCCTGTTTATCCCGGCCCCGGCAATCTTGCTCACTCCTTTCTGTGAGTTGGGAAGGAGTCTGTGATTCACACACACGCGCGCGCACACACACACCCTCACCCACAAAGCACAATGTCTCAAACACCTACCTGCGAGTGGATAGATCTGTTCCCTTCAGGCTTGCACTTACTTCTGAAGTAAGAAGAGGGGGGAAGGGCGACACGGATCCTGCACAAGGAGTCCCTGGGGAGGGTGGGGCCTCGCTCTGCGCCTGCGTGCCCTGTTTGCGTGCCCTCAGTAGGGTTCCTGCAGGCCGTCGCCAAGCAGCTTGTTTTCAATTTCAACAAGCAAGTGAGCTGTGAAGGAGAGGGGAGGAAGGCGACGCCCAGGGGGGGCGGCGGGGGGGAGGAAGGCGACAACGCGTACCACCAGCCAGGTGGTCGCGTACCACTAGTGGTACGCGTACCACGGGTTGAAAAGCCCTGCTCTAAGCGACATTTTCTAGGCACATTGGCCTTTGAACTAATGTAAGGGATGGTTTAAATCACTTCTTTCATTTGTTCAATTTCGGTTGTATATTCTACATTGCACATTCAAGGGACCAATAGGAAAACCAGTTGGGAAAGTTCATTGCTGGTTTTCAAGCACAGACTTTGCATATGAAGTCTTGGCATGCAAGCTCCTTGAAACCTCAGTTGGAAAGTTGAGGAAATAAGTCAGAAAGTCCATACTAGTAGTTTGTTTGAATGGATCAGTTGTTGACTACTAGACAATGCAGTTTGCTTTGATCCTCTATTCTCTTCTGAGGCTATTGATGGCCAAGGGTAACTCTGTTGAGAGACTGATGGCAGGTGTCTCCGCCCTTTTTCAGATCAAAGAACATGAATTGCCTTTTGATGAATCAGGAATGGGTTCTGGATGAAAACCAGATTAAATTGCTTTTTGATTATATACTGCTCAAAGTCAGTTGGATTGGTTTACCAATGTTATAAATAAACAGATTTTGAAGGAGTCTTGCTATCCTTGACTTATAACCATAAATGAGCCCAAAATTTATGTTGCTAAGCAAGACAGTTAAGTGAATTTTGCCCCATTTGCAATCTTTCTTGCTGAATTTGTTAAGTGAATCAGTGCAGTTGATAAATTAGTAACAGAGTTGTTAAGTAAATCTGGCTTCTCCATTGACTTTGCTTGTCAGAAGGTCGCAAAAGGTGATCACGTGACTCCAGGATACTCTACCCATCATAAATATGAAACAGTTGCTAACCAATTTTTGATTATGTGATCCACGGGTTCTACAGTGGTAAGTGTGAAAAAAGATCATAAGTCCCTTTTTTTCTCTGCCATTGTAACTTTGAACGATCACTAAACAAATGGCTGTAAGTTGAGGACTACCTGTACTACAAATCATTTTAGTATAATTTTCCCAGTTGCCTTTTTTCTTTTTGTTATTTGCTGAAGGAAAAAAATGAAGACGGGCCCATTTATTGGCTAGTATGTTTTATCCTAAGTTGTTGCTTTACAAAGGAAGGGAAAGCACATGACTAGGGCATCCAATATACCAGCGGTGTCAATCTGGTGCCCATGGGCTGGATGTGTCATGCGCTGGCCCCGCCCACCCTGGCTCCCCAAAGGCAAAAAACATCACAATATGTCACAATATATCATGTTACATGATCGAGTTTGACACTCGTGCAATATACTATATAGCAAATAATCAATAAGAAGAAACAGGGACCAGAATATATGTTAAGAATGTGAAGGTGAGAAAGACATGTATAAAGCAAAGGATCCTTCTTAAAAAGATACTCATAACAGAAGTAGCTGGTAACTGGGCTTGGGTTGGTGAGCGGATGGGAGGGGAAGGATAAAACTAGGGGTCAGAATTAACTTAGTATTGGCCGACTGATTTCTTGCACAAATAAAAATAAATAAATAAAAAACATCTTCAACTTCATGCAGTAATTATAAAAAAGGTTAATTGAATGTCCAATGAATGAATGTAGTCTAATAATACATACCAATTATATTTGTAATAGATAGACATACTAATGATATATAAGCAAACAGCACAAATATTTACATGTGAAAATGATGACTGTTAACCATATTTTTGTGATTAAAGCGTTACACAGACATCACATGCAAATTAAAAGCTAATAAAATGAAATCAAAGATTTTATTATAGATCAGAGGCCTATTTTTTTTTTAAAAAATCATTCTTGGTCTCGTAATAAGTGGAATACCTTCAGAGCCAATGAAAAGATGTGTTTTACAGGACATTGGAATAATCAGTGGTTTATTTTCAGTCAGACACAACGGGATTCTTTCACCTCATATCCACATAGACCACAAACTTCCACATAAAACAAAACATAGCCAGTATTACGATTATTGAGAGTTTTACTTCTGCAACTTCTGGTGGGCTGTGAAAAATCACTATTTTCACTGAATATCTAGGCAGCTTGCAGTCTGAGACCACATATGGCTTCCAAGTCCTTTTCTTCATCCTTGGAGCCAAGCCTATCTACAGGCTATTGTCAATACAAGATGATGGATGCAATGATGGGATTGAGACTCAACATGTTATTTTTTATCTGCAACCCACATAATGTTGGCCATTGCTGCTTGGAGTACTATTTGTCTATAATTGCTGAAAATTGACCACATACTTCCTGCCATATTGAGGTATGATGCCCATGAAAATTGAACTGTAACCCCTGAAATAAGCATCAGGGCTGTGCAGATTTGAAGGGGATAAGAATATGCTTTCAAGCATACAGGGATGCTTAAGTAACATCTATTATCAACTCCTCAAAGCAAACACAAGGTATGTTTAAGCAATTTGTATAGACAACTATTCCATAAATTCATTTATCCTTCCTTCCTTCCTTCCTTCCTTCCTTCCTTCCTTCCTTCCTTCCTTCCTTCCTTCCTTCCTTCCTTCCTTCCTTCCTTCCTTCCTTCCTTCCTTCCTTCCTTCCTTCCTTCCTTCCTTCCTTCCTTATTTTTACAAATAATTCAAGGCAATGAACGTATCCAACACACATTTCTTCTATTTTAGGGGGCAAGCACAGTTAGGATACATGTGATTGGTGAATAATTTGAAAAGGAATACATATTTCTTCCATGCATTCTTCTATATCATAATTTGATTTGTTTAGCTTTGGCTTCTGTGCTATGTAAATTCAACCATCATGATTGGTAAATCATGATGTAATGTTGCATCAGTGACAGGATACATGTACCATAAGTCATGGTTTATTTATAATTTATTGAATTTAGTGTACTCAATATCTACAATACACTAAAACAGCTATATTTACAAGCTACAGAGTTGACATATCACACGTA